TTTGTTTTTTTTTTGTTTTTTTTTTTGTACCAGGGATGGAACTTGGGACCTTGCGCTCGCAAGGCAGGCAGGCTAAGGTATTTAATTTTGCTTACAAGCCAGTTGTGGTGGTACACACCTGTAATCTCAGCACTCAGGAGGCTGTGGCAGGAGGATCAACATGAGTTTGACACTACCCTGGGCTACACAGAGGTCAAGGTCAGTCTGAACTACACAGAGTCTGTGGCTCAAAAAAAAAAGGAAAACTAAGTAAAATTCATGAAGCTGGGCATGGTGGCGCATGTCTGAAATCTAGTTAATGGGGAGCTGAAGCAGAAGGATCTCAAATTTAAGGCCAACATAGTGAGTACTGGGTCAGCCTGAAACAGAAAGGGAGACCCTGCCTCAAAAGAGCCAGAAAACAATCAAACAAAAACCCTAAATTAAAATAAACAAATCCCTGAGCATACTAACCTCAAGACACAAGTTTTCCAACTTTCCTCTGTTCTTTGTAACATTACAAAAAGTTATAATCCTTGCCATAAACACTCTAGGATGCAAATTAGTTATTCCTGGCTTTTTTTTTTTTGGTACCAGAGATTGAACTCTGGACCTTGTACTTGCAAGGCGGATACAGCGCCACTGAGCTAAATCCCCAGCCCTGCCTGGCTCTTCTTAGACCTCACATTTCCAGACTTCACTACTCCAAGGAGTATCTGGGGAGCTTAGAAAAAAATATATAGGTTATCACCCTCAGATTCTGATAGCCTGAGTGCTTTTAGCTTGTTTGTCCTTTTTAAAATTCTAACAGGACATTCTAAGTGAAACTAGGCTTAAGAAAGAAGACAAGAGGGGCCGGGGATTTAGCTCAGTGGCACTGTGCCTACCTCGTTAGGTTGTGAGTTCGATCCCTGGTACAAAAAAAAAAAGAAAGAAGACAACGCAGGATATGTGACTCACTCATTTAGGCCTCTCTTCTCCCCATAAACATGGCTTGTGCAGAGAGAAGCTCAATACTCATTAGACTCAAAAATCACTGCAATGCCACCTGATTTCTACAATAATTGCTAAAACTTAAAAGGTCAGAGTCTTGACCTTTTTATGCTCTCATTTTTTTACCTGATGAATTAAAAGAGTTTCTGAACAGTAATCCACCGTGAGGGTAACATAAATCTCTTACCTTTATAAGACAGTCCTCTTCCTGAGATGACAGTAGAACATTCTCTGGCTTTAAATCCCGATGTATAATCCCATTTTCATGAAGGTACTACACAGAAAGGGAGGCATGGCCCTTGGATCTACGCAGTGGCTATGTGAGCACAGACAGCTCACATACATCCTAGGCTGTGTGGAACTGTATGCTGTGTCATACCCAGCCATGATCCTCAAAATCACAGAAAACTAGGGAAACCGGTTAGTTCATAAACTGTGCCTGAATATCTTCAAACAGCAGAAAAATAAAAAAAGCAACTTAGAATGATAACTCTCGTATTTCACAATTCATGAAAATACGTATTTCTTCATATTGGTAGAAATATAAGGTATCTATTTTAATAAAATTCTTAAAAAAATTTTTTTAAGATAGGGTCTCGCTTTGTAATGCAGACTGGCCTTGAACTCACCATGTACCTCAGGCTAGCCTGGAACTCATAGAGATTCTCCTGCCTCAGCCCTTTATGTGCTGGGATTACAGGCGTGTGCCACTATATTCAGCTTTAATAAAAATTTAATTGAGCTGGGTATGATGGTGCACGTCTCTAATCCCATCTACTTGGGAGGCTCAGGCAGAGGACCACAAGTCCAAGACCAGACTGGGAAATTCAGCAAGACCCGATCTCAAAAGTAAAATACACATTCAGGTATTCTAGGCAAGCACTGTACCACTGAGCTCAGTGTTCTCTGGGTTCAACCACCAGTAACGCAGTGGAAAAAAACTAAATGAGTGATAGAAAATCATTTTGAAAACATACCAAAATAAACATAAAAATTCCACCAAGATAATGTATTTATTTGGTTATTCCAGTTTGTTAGTTTGTTTGTTTGTTTGTTTGTTTTGGTTTTTTGAGACAGGGTCTCACTATGTAGTTGAGACTGACCTGGAACTCACTATGTAGCCCAGGCTGGTCTCGAACTCACAGCGATCCTCCCGCCTCAGCCTCCGGAGTGCTAGGATTACAGGCATGTGTACCACAATGCCCAGCCTAAAAATATTTTAAAAATAAAGGCATAAATACTGGCTAGGTGTGATGACATATATCTGTAGTCCCAGCACTCAGAAGGCTGAAGCAGGAGGACCACTGCAAGTTCCAGGCCAGCCTGGTGGTCTACACAGTGAGTTCAAGGCCAACCTGAACCACATAGTAAGACCTTGTCTCAAAAAACAAACCAACCAAGCAACTAACAACCAAATAAATAGATTATTTTATATATTTGTAAATTATCTGTGCAAAAACCCAAATTAACCTATTCTTAGATACAAAAACCGACTTTAGTCTTCAAAAACTCTTTGGTCTGAAAAAGCATACAAAAATGAACACGCTGCCAGGCGTGGTGGTGCACACCTGTAATCTTGAGGATCGCTGCTGAGGCAGGAGGATCCCTGCAAGTTGGGGGTCAGCCTATGCTACATGGTGAGTTCAAGGCCGGAGCTACGTAACAAATGTCCAAAAAATGAAGGGAGAGGAAAAAACAGAACTCAGGAAACATCAACGTACTATTATCATATTGCATCAGGAATACAAAATGTCCCTTACCCAACAATCTGCACCCAGTTCATCTTAACACGTTTTTTCCGTACATGTAAGGGAGGGAGGGAGTACCAAAGAGGGACAAGTACTGGCCAGATGACAGCTGCCATTAAAAACACGGCTTTTGGGAAATAAAATGGCTTTTGGACTGGAGGAATAGCTTAGTGGCAGAACACTTGTCCAGCATGCACAAGGTTCAGTCCCTGGGTTCAAAACTCTTCACTACAAAACAAAAGGGTTTCAATCTTCTCTGACATTACAAAAAATTCCTCCAGGAAATCGATTTGGGAAAAACAAGGGAGAAAAACTCAGGTGGACCAACTCTAGAAAAATCTCCCTCAATCCAAGAACTCCTCCCAAGTGATGCACTTCCTGCGTGGAGTTGGTTGGTTTGTACTTGCACTGCACAGGATGGAAACCAGAGTTTCAAGCATTCTGGGCAAGCACTCTACCACGGAGCTAGAGCCCCAGCCGCTCATGGAGTGGGTTTTCAGGAGAAGAAACTGGCAGGGAACCACCATGCCCAAATTTGGTTTGGGAAAAGGTGATATCCACAAAGAAAACTGCCCCAACTGCTGTTCCATCAACGCCCTCACTAGAGAAGGCTGTGTGTGTGCCCTGCCCACCAGCCACAGAAGAGCAAACAATCTGTCCCAACCACCCCAGCTCATGAGCTTCGGTCTCAAACCTGCCCAGCTCACACGCTGAGAACTAAGGGGGTTTCCACAAGGATCAAGGCAGTATAGAAAAATCAATGCTCCTTCAGGACCTCCGAACTAAAGAGAGGAGCATGTGACTGTGTGTTCATTTCTTTAGCCTTCCCACTGCCCTTTTCCTTTTACAAGTGCTGGGGATGGAACCCAGGGGCTGGTCCATGCTAGGCAAGCGCTCGACCACTGAGCTGCATCTCTGCTCTTAGTTCCCTTTCTTACTGTGTCTTAATTTCACAGTGAGAGTTTTGTCAAAGGGGGTAGGATGTTTTTGCCAAGAACAGAACAACAAACACACAGACTCTTCTGAATTCTAATCCCCAGTTCCTGTTTCCGCTGAACCCAGGTAGTAATTCACACAACAGACAGCGGACAGTCAAGTATCGAGGGAGGGTCAGGGACTGGCTCAGTGGAGCCTGCCTCAAAAGCACAAGGTCCTGAGTTCGATGCCCAGTACCAAAAAAAAAAAAAATTGAGGGCTTCTCTTACCTGGACAGCCAAGAGCATCTGGTAAAAATAAAGCTTGCAGGTAGCTTCTTTCAGACGTTTGTGCCCCACTACCCTGTCAAATAGCTCTCCCCCTTCCATCCTGAAACACACAGGCAAAGCGAGGACACTCACTTGGAAAGAAGATAATAGCACAAGCAAACATTTTTAACTTAGTTGTGACTTCCATTTTTTAAACTAATAAGCTAATGGGGCCAGGGGTTTAGCTCAGTGGTGCCACCACCTGTCTGAGTTCAATCCCTGGTACCAAAAAAAAAAAACTATTAAGCTAATAAACCTCATACACAATCAGATATTTCAGTTGGAAAGAAGAGGACAGAAGGAACGTACAGCACACACACGAGCTTTTTAAAACTGAATGCAAGCCAGGCAGAGTGGTGCATGCCCCAGCACTCTGGGAGGCTGAGGCAGGAGTCTCGAAAGTTCCAGCCCAGCACAGACAACTCAACAACTTAACAGGACCTTGTTTCAAAAAAATAAATAGATAAATAAAATGAAATAAAAGGTCTGAGAATGTAGTTTAGTACAAAGGCTCTGGGTTCAAACCTAACACCCTAACTAAATAAATAAATGGATTCAGCAGACTAGAGCTAAGGCCCAGGAGTTCATTCTTTCTTTCTTTCTTTTTTTTTTCCTTTCTCAGTGATGCTGCGGATGGAACCCAGGGACACACAACCATTGAGCTACATTCCCAGCTCTTTTTATTTTGGTCTCACTAAAGTCTCACTACGTTACTTAGGCAGACTCAAACTCTCAATCCTCTTACCTCAGTTGCTGGGATTATAGACATGTACCCTCACACCTGGTGAGGAGTGTGCATTCTTTTCTTTTTTGGTACCAGGGATCAAACTCAGGGCCTTGTGCTTGCGAGGCAGGTGGCGGCATCACTGAGCTACATCCCCGGGCCAGGAGTCTGCATTCTTATCCTGAACTCCACATGATTCGGGAGGTTACATAGAGGAGCACACAGGCGCTTAACAATCAGGACATGGGGTCTCAATCCCAACACCACCACCTTGCAGCTATAGGACTTGTGGGTGTGGTATTTAAACCTCTCTGAGCTTAAAATAAATGGGGATAACATCACTGTTATGATGTGACTCCAGATGTCCCTCAAAAGCCTCATGTGCTGGGGGGAAGGGAGCTTTTGGAAGGTGACTGAACCGTTAGGTGGGGCCTGGTTAGAGGCAGGTCTGACCTGGGAGCCCATCTCTCCTCCCCAGTTCCTCCTTCCCCCACTGTTTCCTGAGTGCCACGGTGCGAGCAACTCTCCTCTACGGCAGCCCCTTCTACCATGCTGTTTCTGTGCTTGAGCCCGCTGAACACGGACCGAACCTTCTAAAGTATGAGCCGAGTGACCGTCTCCTCCTTTAAGTCACAAGCATCTCCGACCAAGGAGAAAGTGACTAAGACAGCCACCTCCTGTGATGGCCAGAGTGAAAATTCAAATCTAACTGATTGTGGGTAAAGCACCTTGCCCAGAGTAGTAGCTCACCAAGGCCATTCCATGCCCCTGGGATTCAGTGTCCTTTTCTTTAAGGAAGGCTAAAAACAGCAACACATCTACACCCTGTAAGCAACCTGCAAGAGTATTATGAAAGCTAAACGTGCCAACACACAGAAAGGACTTGGAGCAGTACTTCATTGACAGTACCAGTTTCTGTTATTGTGTTCCTATCACCATTATTAAACTGGGATAACTGGATCTAGTCAAGTAATAGTTTCCAATTTGGTAGCAACAGACATTCCCTAGGCACTACAGGATCACCTAAGCGGGTCCCAGGGCTATGATCAGGGCTAGGATTTATTATGAAACCTTAACGGTCATTCTGTATAACCACAATTTGCCAGCCAGGAACAAAACATACCCTCCTGTCAGGGTGGCCGTTCTGAAAACACTGCAAATTTATGCAGGAATGGACATGAGATAGGTGTTTCCCAGGAACGAGACCGGAAACTACTGTGGTCACACCAGGTAAGGCAAGAGGTGGTGGCCACGGAGGGAGCAAGATCCTGAAAGATACCCAGGTAACTAAGCAACGAGACTCGGAGCAGAAAAGCACACCAGTCAGGTATTGCAGAGTAATACTATCAAGTAAGGCTGAGTGCCCACCTTGCCAGTACTAGGCTTTTTCCAGGTCCACACCACTGAATCCTTACAAAGACTCTGAACATGGGGTACCACTAATATCCACAGTTTGTTTTTTTTTTTGGACTGGGGATCGAACTTGGGTCCTTGTGCTTGCAAGGCAGGTGGCGGCACCACTGAGCTAAATCCCTGGCCCTATATCTGAATTTAATACTAAGACAACCAGACTTGAAGAGGTGAAATAAGCCACCCATAGGTGCTGAGCTAATCATATGTGCAGTTCAATCCCAGGTTTGACCTGATGTAAGGCCTAGAATCCCATACTAACGGGGGGGGGGGAATTGATACTCACACTGTCTCTCCCTCTCCCTCTCTCTCTCTCTCTGGGTCCCACCCCCATGTACATACATGCTGAGGGCCTCCAACGTAAGAAAGGCAAGTGCATTCAATTCTTTGCTGGTATATGAGCACTTACAGGGAGACATACATTTAAAACATTTACTACTTACAATTCCAAAACAATGTAATAATCTTCTGCATCAAAAAAGTTTTTAATCTTGATGATACAAGGCTAAAAAAGAGAGGAAACAAAGAAAAATGGTGAGAAAAAAAAAAAAAAAAAAAAAAAAAAAAAAACTCCCAAAAGGGGAACCACAAATGACATAGAAATGAGACATTCGCCCACAGGGTCAGGCAGGCTAAATCCAGGCATTTGGCGCCCGGTCTCTGGATGCTCTGAAGTTCAAGCAGGGAGAAGGTGGAACAGAATCTAGTCGACTCAGTGAGAACATACAAGAAACATTCCACCCCACTATGAGGAACAAGATTCTCTTTCCTATGCAAGCATGCCCTGCCTACTGAATGAAGGCCAGGTCTCTTCCCACCTCTCGTCTTCACTGCCCCTGAGCACTCAGGGACCCTGAAGAAGTCTAATAAATGGCATGAAAGAAGCAGGCCAGCTGGGAATGGTGGCGCATGCCTGTAATCCCAGCACTTGGGAGGCTGAGGCAGGAGGGTCGCTGTGAGTTCAAGAACAGCCTGGGCTCCATAGTGAGTTCCAGGTCAGTTTCAACTACATAATGAGACCCTGTCTCAAAAAAACAAACAAAAAAATTAGGATTGTCAAGCTGGGGATTTAGTTCAGTGGTGCCACCACCTGCCTTGTAAGCGCAAGGACCCGAGTTCAATCCCTGGTACAAAAAAAAAAAAAAAAAAAAAAACAATCATATACATGATCAGTTGACAAAATCTGTACAATACAGACTTTGGTCAAAAACTAAGTAGAAGCCAAGTGTGGTGGCACACGCCTGTAATCCCAGCTCTTGGGAGTCTGAAGCAGGAGAATTGGCCACGAGTTCAAAGTCAGCCTGCGCTATACAGTGAGTTCAAGGCCATCCTGGCCTACACAGCAAGGCCCTGTCTCAAAAAATCGAAATAAAACAAACAAAGCCAAAATAAGAACTAAATAAAAGTATCATATAATTATTCATGAAACATTCATGCAGGATTTTGGGAGTAAATTTTTGAAGTAAAACTCTTCCAAATTAAATGACAGCTCGGTGCATGTATGTGTGCACCTAAAGATATAAAATAAAGAACCCAGGTCGGGGATTCAGCTCAGTGGTTCCAGCGACTGCCTCACAAGCGCAAGGACCTGAGCTCAATCCCCGGTACCACAAAATAAAGAACCCAAGTTAATACTAGCTCTATCGTATTGAAATAATTTACCCTCTCCTCATATTCTGAGATAAATCAAACTTGTATATAAACTATATTTTACAGGTACTTACGTGGTTTAGTTTTTTCAAAATTTCTATTTCAGTTTCAACGTTAAGAGCTGGGTCCTTTGACAAAGAGAATAACATAATTTATAAATAACAACAGCTAACATTTTTTAAATGTTTATAATTAAACTTAACTGAATAAAGACTGCCTGAATTTAAAGACGGTGCTATTCATACAAAGAAACAAAGACCCAGAGGTCAATGAATTCAATAACTCATCCAGAATTACCTTGCAAAATGCTTGGCAAACTGTAAGCATTCAATAAATAGCCTGGCCCTGTGCCAAGCTCTTTTTCTACAAGAATCATATCACATAAGCCTCCTAATCCTCAAATGAAGAGGATTCCATATTTATTCCCATTTTACAAAAGGGGTAACTGAGTCTCGGAGAAAACAAGCTACTCATCCCAGTTTCTGCTGCCAAAAACAAACACGTTTCCACTGTTTTCATCTGTAACTGGTAACTTCTACCTCAACTTCATCAGCTATGGAAGTATTTATATTCATTTAAAAATGTAGCCAGGGCCGGGGATTTAGCTCAGCGGTTCGGTGGTTTGCCTTGCAAGGCAAGGACCCGAGTTCAATCCCCGGTACCAAAAAGAAAACAAAAAAGTAGCTGGGCGTGGTGGCGCATGCCTGTAATCCCAGCACTGGGGAGGCTGAGGCAGGAGGATCGCTGTGAGTTCGAGACTAGCCTGGGCTACATAGTGAGTTCCAGGTCAGTCTCAAGTATACAGTGCGACCCTGTCTC